CAACTCAGTATTTATCGAAAGCATGGTGCATCTATACACTCAAGTACAGTTGTACATTTAAATTAAAAAAACCTACAAATTCCAGAAATAAATATTTAATAATAAAAATAGATGTACAGTTTTTTGTCTTTTAGATATAAAGCTTTTTGTAGAATAAGGCATATTCATCTTTCAAATAACACATCTTTAAATAACTATTATGATCTCCCTTTATTTTCCTATCAATCTAATACCCCCTTTTCTTATATTTTTTGTGTTCCTTGTAACAGTTACTTCATTTTTCTGAATCTAATTCTTCCTCATTTTTGAAGTTTAAGGTAACAGATTAAAAAGACAGATTACTTCCAAACATCTGCACTGCAATGCTTTACCTGAAACTCTTGCTGAGAATAAAATTGATTTTAATTATATGATTTTTAAAATTTCTCTTTCAGGCTAAGTTCCTAAAATGCCATCTAAACGATATCAGACTTCCTTATTTGTTTACTTTGCCATTTCAGCTCTGCTTTATTTAATTCCAAGTTGCTGAGTTGCTTCAATGGATAGTTGATGCTGTAAATTAAGTTCCCCAGCTTCTCAATCTGTCATGAAGCATTCAACTCAGTATTTATCGAAAGCATGGTGCATCTATACACTCAAGTACAGTTGTACATTTAAATTAAAAAAACCTACAAATTCCAGAAATAAATATTTAATAATAAAAATAGATGTACAGTTTTTTGTCTTTTAGATATAAAGCTTTTTGTAGAATAAGGCATATTCATCTTTCAAATAACACATCTTTAAATAACTATTATGATCTCCCTTTATTTTCCTATCAATCTAATACCCCCTTTTCTTATATTTTTTGTGTTCCTTGTAACAGTTACTTCATTTTTCTGAATCTAATTCTTCCTCATTTTTGAAGTTTAAGGTAACAGATTAAAAAGACAGATTACTTCCAAACATCTGCACTGCAATGCTTTACCTGAAACTCTTGCTGAGAATAAAATTGATTTTAATTATATGATTTTTAAAATTTCTCTTTCAGGCTAAGTTCCTAAAATGCCATCTAAACGATATCAGACTTCCTTATTTGTTTACTTTGCCATTTCAGCTCTGCTTTATTTAATTCCAAGTTGCTGAGTTGCTTCAATGGATAGTTGATGCTGTAAATTAAGTGTAAGTGAAGGAGTTCAGTGTAAAAACAAGTTATCTTCCAGGCTCTTACTGTTAGGCACAAACAGATTACAAACAAATATTATGCACACTAGATCACAGTTATAAACTTTGTATGGTAAATAATAGTTTTCATATCATGGATATTTATTACAGTCATAGTATATTTAAGGTTACTGGAAATTTTACATTTGTGCCATTGTATTATATTAATTATATAACTACACAGGAAAAAAAAAAAAGGAAGAAAAATTGATTGTTGGCCACTCATTTACTATGCATACTTAAAGAACCAAAAATCAATGTTAAACTTAACTAAATTGGCATAAGCAGGCCTCCCACCTTGGGTGATAAATTTGGCCCAAAGTAGTCGTTGTAGGTACTAAACTACAACCTAGCTTTATATATAAGCAAACTGTAACCTACCTTAAGGGAATGCCCTAGTAATCTAGCTACTAAGCCTTCCTCAATCACAGGGTACTTTCTATTCAGACTATGACCATATAAGGCAAATGCCAATTGTAGCCAGTCAGGTTTTTCAAATCCTTGGTTTATATGTCATTTCCTTTTCTCAGGCTATATAAACTGGGCATGTTTTGGGGCAGTGCATAGTGAACTAACTTGTCAGGAAAGCTGGAATTTTACAACCTATCTCTTGTGTAATTAAACTCCATTAAATTTAATTGGTCTCAGATTTAAAAAAAAAAAAAAAAAAACACCAAAGACTCCAGTAAGACTAAAATGTGGCTGTAAGTCATGTACTACTAGTTTTGTTCATGTAGTAATGAGGTTTTAGTAACATATGGGTATTAGGTTATCTAGGTTTCCTTATAATTACCAGAACTGAAATTAGTAAGTCCCCTAATACCCACAGCATGCACGTGTGCAGTACACCTGCACACTTGTAAAGTGATACTTCTCTTCTTCTACCCCACATTTAGAATGTTAGAATCTGTATGTTTCCCATAACCTCTAGCTGTATAGCTTCATTCTCTCTGTGGGTCTTCCTAGGCTATTACTTCAACTATTACTTAAATGCCAACAAACTTTCTATTATTCTCACCTTCCTGTAAGACCTTTCCTATATATTTCAGGGTTCAACTTATATTCTTACACACATGGACTCATCCTTTTTTCCTCTCAGCTAATTTCTATGTTCATCGAATGGATTTGAAGTGTCATAATCCATTTGATAAACTAGACTGGACATCTCAAGTATACTAAATAACTCTATCTTCAATTAGCCATTCTCTGAAATCATTCACAAGTGAAATGTCTGACTGTCCACTCTGAAATTATTCACAAATGTCTGTCTTTTTAGTTCTCACTATCATATACCTAGTTCCATTCACTGCTTTTCATATGGGCTTTGGTTAAAAATTTTTTTTTTCTATAGGACATGTATGCTCACTGGAGAGAGAAACAGGGTGTGGGTGAGAAAGCACTCCTCCCAGGGGGGGATGACTTTGCTGCAATCCCTTCTCCATCCTCCTCTTGGGACTTTGAGTGCACATGCACACACACTCAGCATGGTTTTAAGTCACTAGGTCCAGGACTCTAACTGTGCAATTGGCCATGTGGGATCTAGTGGTCTTAATACCTCTCTGCCTGGCTGGCTCTTTGGTAAAACATTTTACACCTGGTTTCCTTTCCTGCAGCCAAGGCTAAAATCAAAACACTCTCCATAATTCACATCTATTTGACACATATTTATTGAGTACCTTCTTATGTGTCAGCCTTTGGTCTGGGCATTAAGCAAAATGTGCTGAGAAAGTCAAAGACCTCTCTTTAGTGAACTTACACTCTACTTTAGGAGATAAAACAATAGAGTAAATAAATAAATAAATTGTCTACAGGGTGCCTATATAAGGAGTAACAAGGGGGGAATGAAATGTATATAGAATGGGCAGGGAAGACCCTATTGAGGAGATGCCATTTAAAGTAAGACAAATAGGAAGAAAAGTCACACAAAGAATAAAAAGGAAAAACATAGCGGATGTCCATTGCAAGAAAGAACTTTAAGAGCAAGAACGAAAGCTGTGGTTTCTAGAGCCTAGTTTATAATGGGGATGGTGTATGAGTTGAGATAACAGGGAAAAGGTAAGTAGTAGAAAAATTATGTACCCCATTATAGGCCACTATTGAAAGTTTGAACCTAGTATGAAGCAAAATTGGAGGCCAGGGAAGAGCATTATGCAAAATAATAACATGATATGATTTACATATATTTAATTGCCAGAATTGTTTCCCAATTACAACAAGAGCTGTTGCTTCATAAAAGTCCAGTGGTTTCTGATGAATGGGATGATCACATGCTCCAGTCTGCTCAAGTGAGTTCTAGTTTCCCTGTGTTGTCCTAGTTTAATTATTAATATACCCTACATTCACTATCACAAGGGTACTGATGAAGACTGTCAATTGTATGATCAATAAGCAATACAATAAAATGTTCCTTAGTTAGGCATTCAAAGGCCCTCTGTACCTGGTCCTACCTCACCTCCCTTTTCTTTCCTGTACCATCTCTATCTTAAGAATGTTATGGTCATTATGAAAATATAATGCTGGCAGTGACCTCAATGTGATGTGCCTTTTCTCATACTCCTGGCTCTCACTGGATGCTTTAATCATCTTACTGATTAAAATGGACCCTGGGCCAAATCTGCAGAGCCTTCCCAGAAACCAGGCAGAATGAATGGCTTCCTCCTCTGCATTTTGTCAGACTCTCTAGTACAACACTTCCCACAACTACGTTAATAATTTATACTTCTTATTTCTCTGCTGGAATGGTGAGTATTTAAGGGGCAGGGCAGCACTTTATCTTATGTGGTTTTGGGTTCTCACCACTTACAGTCTTGGCCTATTGCTGCTGTTACTTGTAAAAGCAAAACAGGGCATGGTGGTATGCCCCACTCCCAGTGCATGACCACCAGAGGTTGGAGAATCAGATGGAGACCTCCTCTGTGACATAGTGGTAATGCACAGCTCAAGAGAAGGTGATTCCCACAAGATAACTGAAGTTCAAATCCCTGCCAGCCAGTCTGAAACATGCCAGGCATGCATGTGAGAACCCAAGAGCTGATGGGCTAAAGGATTACAGGAAGTAGATTTCAGCATGACCAAATCCTTTAGAGGGTGCTCATCTTTCTTTCTTGCATACATGTGCATGTGCAGGAACACACACATGCTCTCTATCATGAATAAAGAAAAAAATTATTCAAAAAAGTAAAATAAATACATAGGAAAACAATAAAGTTAAATAGATTTTAATGTTAATTTTTTCAGTAAGTTTAAAGTATTATTGGCTTTACATCTACACTATTTTCATTCTCTAGCTTTATTCGAAAGTTTAATGTTTCCCCATTCATTAGAAAATAACAACAAACTTTGGGACCAGCAGATGGCATAATGGTTACATCACCGGACTCCCACATAGTCAACAGCAACTTGACTTCTGGACCCAGTGGCTTAAAACTCTCGCTGGGTGCATGTGTGTGTGCATCCAGAATCTGAGGGGTGAGTGGAGGAGAAGGGATTGCAGTGTGGCCATCCTGCTGGGGGTGGGGTGGTGATTTTTTGCTTTTGGTCTCTCTGTCTCTGCAGCAAACACATGTACCCTATAGCAAAAAACTCTCTTAAAGCAAAAAAAAAAAAACACAAAGAAACAAAATAAACAATACATTTTAATGAATGAATACAAGTAAAAAAAATTTTAGAGGGCAACAAGAAGAAGTATACTTTTCAAGAAACTAAACAATTTCATGTTTTATAATAAATTTCTTAATAATTGTGTAGATGACTAAAACAAACTGATATACTACCAAAAGGCTATTTCATACACTTACCACTCTTAAATGATCCTGAAAAAATCTTGCCCAGAAGTTTTTGACGTAATTGCAGAACTTCTGCTTCTAAGGCTTTGACTTTCGATTTCCACTTCAACTCCTGCTCAGACATCAACATTGCAAGGTACTCTGTGTATTCTCTGCTGTTTTTGTCTGCTGGTTTTGAGCGAATAATTGCCAGGGCCAGAGCCAGCTTTGAAGTTTTCAAATACCATGCTTGAACATCCGTTCTGGCTTTTGTCCCTATCATTTAATAAGAAAAAAAAAAGGTACAGAAAATTCCTTTTAACTTTTGTAGTATATTTCATTTGCTCAAAATTGATTTTGCAGAGTAACACTAATTAGTACATTTATATTACAGTTTGGCACCAAGTCACACACAAAAAAAAAATTCTCAGGAATTGAAAATTGTAAGAGAAAAATATGCAGAAGAAAAATGTGTATGCATGCATATTAAGTATATTAAGATTCAAACAGTAGATTTAGACAGTCTGACAACTTGTTGGGGTGGAAAAAAAAAAACACACATTAATTTATTTAGTGGTTTCTAACCAGAGACACAAATCAGAACCTCTGAGGGAGCTTTTAAAATGTATATGTGTGTCTGATTCCATCTCCCCCAAACTCTGATTCAGCAAATCTGAAGTAGGCCTGAGGCTTTTATATTTTCATTAGAGTCCACTAGGAAATCAGAACCATTAAATTAAATTTAAGTCCTTCCTCTCATCTAAAGTTTTGGAGTCCCTGCTTTCCAACCCTACATTCCTTAATGGACTTTTACCTACTATTCCTGACTTTAGTAAGCGTCCTTCAATCTGAAGTATATTTGAAATAATCTTTCAAATACACTTTTAATTTAAATTGTGCTCTGCTCTGATTCTGTGCTTCCAAAGATTTCTAATTGCCACTGTGAGCATACTTTTCCAAACCAACATTGCATCACTCTGATAATATAAATGTATTACGAGGACAGCATGAGAGACCACTGTATTCATTGGTTTTTGTATTGCTGTTTTATTAACCACCAGAGAGTATATGCATTTGTTAGAGAGACAGACAAGCAGAGAGAGAGAGAGCATGTGCAAGGGGGGAGGGAGGGAGGGGGGAGAATGCACTCCCCAGAGGAGTGTGGTCACACAGCATCTTTCTCTTACATTTCTCAATCCTGTCAGGAGTTTAGGGCCAAGTGCACACACGCTCAGCCTGTTTTGTAAACCACAGAGGCCAGGATCTGAATTGCAGTTGACCATGTGGGATCTGGCTCCCTTAACCACAAGGTCATGGATCTGGCCACACTGATGTAATATCATTATCTCTACTAAAACATAAACTCCCTGTGACCTCCACTGTGCTTCATTGGGTTATCATGGGGACTTTGCATATAAAACATGCCAAACAAAAACTTAATGATGGGACCAGCAGGGACCAGCAGATGGCATAATGGTTATATCACTGGACTCCCACATAGTTGAGCATGTTCCAAGTCCCAGACCCAGCAGCTTAAAACTCATGCCAAGTGCATGTGTGTGTGTATGTGTGCCCAAAATCCCAAGAGGAAAATAGAGGAGAAGGGATTGTGGTGTGGCCATCCCCCACAGGGGTGATTTCTTGATTTCTGTCTCTGTCTTTCTCTGTCTCTCTATGAGCACACATGCCCTACAGCAATCATCTCTCAAAAAAAAAAATTAAAAAAAACTTTTAATTAAGAGTTAAAAATACAATGGTCCAGAAAATTCAGGACTTCTGGTTGTCATACGTAGCCTATTACAACAATTTAAAGTTCTTCACTCCACAATTCCAACTTTATTTCCTTTAATTTTTCAAGTCTATCTTTCCTCTATGGTTGGATCATATTCAAATGGATATAAACTCATTCTCATTGACATCTTCCATTCATAACTCTCCACATGAATTTTCCCCAATTTTGATGTCTGCTTCTCTTATTGCTGCTGTATACCCTCCGAAACACAACTCATTAACCACTATATAAAATCTTCCCAGATTTATTCTCTCCCACGATGTGTATCCGCCCAACTTCTAATAACTTATCAAAATACACATCATAATTTGTCTTTTGCATTCTTCACTGATGATAATAAAACAGTATTATGCTGTTTTATTATAAAACTATAAAAATCTGAACATAAAAATCTGCATTCAATATGTTCACCACAGCATGGTTTATAATATGAAAATTGGGATTAACAGTGAAGTAGGTAATTAAATAATGGCATGACTGTACAAAACTACCTAGCCAATAAAAATTAGATTTTAGGAGCCAGCAGATAGGGTAGTAGTTACATTGCTGGACACCCACATGGCTGACCACGGTTCAAGTCCAGGACTCAGTGGCCTGAAACTCATGCTAGGTGCATGTGCGTGCATGTGCGTGCATGCCCAGGATTGAGGAGGAGAATGGAGGAGAAGGAATTGCGGCATAGCCGTACCCCTAGGGGATGATTTCTCACGTTCCCTCTCACTGTCTCTGTCTCTCTCTTTCTCTCTCTCTCTCTCCAGCAAGTGCAGGTACTTTATGGCAAGTGCAGGTGCTTTATTATTATAAAATAATTAGATTTTCAGAGGAAATGTTAATGATATGCTGAGTGAAAACACATGATGATATGAAAGTGTATGTACAGTAAGATCCCAATTTTAAAGAGCAAGCATCCTTGAGCCCCAAATCCAAAATCCAAAAGTGGTCCAAAATCTAAAACCTTTTTAGCACAAACATGACAGCACAAGTGGAAAATTCCACACCTGATCTCATGTGACAGGTTGCAATCAATTGTATAAAATTACCTTAGGAGTATAAGAAACATAAATGAATTCCCTACTTAAACTTGGGTAAAATTCCTAAAATATCTCTTTATGTTCATGTAAATATTCTAAAATACAAAAAACTTCTGGCCCCAAACAATTTGTATAAGGGTTATTCAACTTGCATAAAAAGTAGGAAATACAATAGACTATAATGTTCAATATCAAATATGATGAATATGTCTATATCCTTGATTTGATTATTACATACTATTTGTGTGCTTTGAAAAGCCATACTGTACCACATTGTACACAAAGATGAACAATGATTATGTGTAAACTAGAAATTAGAATAAAAAATATTTTCAGTAGTAGGAGATTCAAACAGAATGGTAAATAGTATTCACTTCCTTCTGTAAAATTATTGATTTTCATCTTACTTCCATTTCTCTACATTTTACTAACTTTTCACAATAAATATATATCAAATTATAACCAAAAACACTTACAAAGAAAATGAGTTTCTAAAGACAAAGTATAGCTGTTACCTTTCACAGCTGTCAAATACATAAGGGATTAGATACTGTCAAGATGTAGAAACTAATTTGGACGGTAGCTCCCCTTATTTAAGCTTTCACAGCAACCATTTCATTCCCTGGCTCATTGTCTGTCATGTTGGCAATAAGAGCATTGGACTCTGACACTGGGTGCTCTCAGAGGAGCACAGACACATGATAACCCTCCCTTCAAGATGTAAGCCTGCTACTAGATATGACTAAAAAATAAAAAAAGTTATCACTCATTTAAAGGTGTCTCAAGCAAGAAAAGGATCTCACACTCAGTTATAAACGGAATATAGGCTAAGAAGGAATATAGGCTAAGAAGGAAAACTAGAAAAACAATTTGTTAGCACAAGAAAATAAAGTTCTCTGGATAGTAAAACACAGCAACCCCCTGGTATCTCACAAAGATATTTAATTAATTGATTTACGCCATCTCATTAATTAAATGTTCTGTTTTTAAGTCATTGTATGTGATTTGTTAATAATCTTAAAACTATACTGAATGTCATAAGGAAAAAGAATAAATTACAAAGTCCTGCTGGATAACTATCTCAGGGTCACTATTCTAAGCATTAATTACAATCAGAACACTAATGAACAGAAGTTATTGCTAATAGAGATGCTTTGTGCAGGCTTGCAGAGTATAAATCACACTTGAAACACACACAGAACTACAACCTACAATCAACAGAACCAATTCTTTTAAACTTCTTTCTTCTTTTTGAGTGTATGTGTTTCCAAATATGTGCCTCTTCATTTTAGAACATTTGTATCTTTAAAGTGCCATTTGTCAGATGAAGATCATTGTTTCCCCTATAATTTCATGGAAGTAAAAATAAGCTTCATTAGGTGGCGTGGTGGTTAAGGCACTGGACTCCCACATTGTTGACCACACTTTGAGTCCTGAACCTGGGCAGCTTATTTTCTCACTTTCTCTCTCTCACTCATACATGTATCCTATAGCAAATTAAATAATAATAATAGTAATAAAATAAATAATTCTCAAAAAAACAGACTTCTGTGACACACAAGGAAATATATATTTGGGCTTTGTCCCTAGTTCATGACACAAAGCTTCTAAACCCCTTAGAATTTACAATGGGAGGAGATTATTCTGTTTTGATGAGGCAATTCTGTCTTTTTTTTTTAAAACTACTTCATACAAAATTTTACTCAAATACAACAATGCATTTTTTTGTAACACTAAAATTCTATTGATATATACAAATTAAATAAAAAGCAAATTATTCCAACTTGAAGAAAAACAAGGTCCACTTAGGGATATGGCTAATTCACCCAGTGCAGTAGAAAAGAGATTCTAAATATTGGGTTGTCAAAAAAGTCATGATTTTTTTTCTATGTTTTTCTATACAAAAATGCATTGTGACTTTTTAAACATATATTGCTTAATATATGCTTAATACATTAACATATTTATATTTAATATTTAAAGGACTAGTTAATGGCCCTCCTCACTCCATCTCAAATGTATTTGATTGAACTTTTTATAAATTTTATAGTACCCTATAGAAAGGAGAAAGAGCAATGTTTCAGAACGATAGATCTTAAAAATCTCTTCCTAAACCTATTCAGCGTAATCATACACAACCTTAGTACCAAGAAAAACCAGAAGTGCACTTGTGCTAATTGAAAACTTTCTCAGGCAATTCTCACACTTACAATAGTTGCTCAGTTTTTATGCCAAATGCAATATCTAGCTAGAAAGTATCATGACCCAGACCTTAGCACCCACTAGTATGTCTCCAAACAGGGAAATTCTTTTTACAATAACTTAAGATGTTAATAAGCATTTACAACATTATGCATAAAAGAAAAAACTAAACATAAATCATGCTTTTTAAAAAGCCTTTTCTTGGGATCAGCAGATGGAGTAATGGTTACATCAGTGGATTTCCATGTAGT